ATAATCACGTGGGTTTTTAGTTCTGTTTAGCGATTAATTATGTAAGCAGCAACACCTTAGTCAAACACTGGTAGAATGATAGCTTTAACAATTTGCATGAGTAATAGAATGTGAAAACAATGTTTATTTCTATATATATATTTTTTAAAATCCTATTTAAAAAAAAAATTCATACAGATGTAATCAATGTGGGATTGGAATGTAACTTTTGAATCAATTCGTAAACCCAAGTATTTGAAGCACTCAGTTTGTTCAATGATGTTGTTTCTGATATCAGTAATAGGTGAGGAGAATTAAACTGGATATATTCACTACGGGTGAACAATGCAAAGAATAATCTCTATTGCGAGTGTATTCAAACTTGAGAGCGTAACAAATTAAGATACATTATAAACATTTAGCATCAGTTGAAAAAAACAGCAGGCAACATGTTATTTTACCCAATCAGAACCACGCTGTAGAGCAGTTTCCTGTAAGTTTGGAGCCGCGTTTTAAAATTCAAGCCGCAATAACTGGCACATTCGTAACCGAGTAACATGTTCTTTAGAAGTGTTGTATTTGATGATGAATGCTCTCAGAATTAGATCTTCCGAAATTATTTTGCCACTCTTCATGCCCACCGATCGTTTAGTTTCTCAAAATAATTTTTAAACCCCTAGATTGCAAACCTTCTGTAGAGGGCTCATCAAATCGTATCCCAATTCAAGCAGTTTCCCCAATCAGTTGTATAAGCCCCCCCCCCACGCTCCAGCCTATCAAAAATAAATTTATTAATCAGGTTTACTTGTATACGGTAAAAGGTGGATCGCGGAGAAGACATATGGCAAGTTGATCTCTCTTGATCACTTGATTCTAACACTGCCAGTCACATTGTATGATTGTGAGTGCTCCTTCCTTGCTTTGAAGCTTGTCACGACCAGCATCCTCTGTGATCTGACGGTGCTGTCATTTGAGTCAAAACTAGTGAGGATGATCAAGTTAAATCCCGTTCATGATGAGTTAGTACACGTTCCTTGTGCGGTGTATTTGTTTTACTGTGGATCAGTTGTTCACGTAATTATTCTTAAATTTCTCGACGAGAGAGAATGACTCGGAGACACGCTGAACCGCGGATTAGCAGGAAGGCAGTCACACAGTGATCCAGTGCCAAAAAATGCCCAGGCTCTGCAGCCCACTAGCAATGCAGGTGTTATTGGCCAATTAATGAGTGTTTACATGTGGGAGGAAACCGGGTTACCTGGAGAAAACCCACGCAATGATAATTATTTGGAGCCCATGCAAAGTTTGTGTGCCTTTTACCCCACTTACTACAATACAACTCAGATATGATGGGAGCTTCCATTTTTATCGTTACTTTCATATTAATCTACCATCCCATACACCCCACTTACTACAATACAACTCAGATATGATGGGAGCTTCCATTTTTATCGTTACTTTCATATTAATCTACCATCCCATACACTTCATTAGTGTGGTATATTTCTGAGCTCCAAATACTCACTTTTGCCCATTCACGTCCATTGACCAAAAAAATAATCCCATTGACCAACTACAAAAATCTGACCTCTGTGGTTAGCTAATCTCTAAAGTGGCTCTCCACTCCCGTTTAATTCTTTTTACTAAGGAAGTTTAACTTGACCACCTTAGACATTCACATTCTAAGTGACCCGAATGACCAAATTGTTCCACAGTCACGATGTAGGGAAAAATGACTTTTATCACCATTTTCACATCCATTTCGTGTTGCTCTAGCCTCATACGTTCACCACAGATCCAAATTTAAAAACTCCTGCTTTTTCCCACAGTGGCCAAAGTATTCCACAGATTATAACAAGGTAAATGAGTAACGTAGTTAGTGCGACTTTGTTCCCCACTGTTTGACCTTATTTGGCTTGTGACATCACTGTCTCGAGCCGTTGGGTTTACGCGTCGAGCAAAGCTGTCAGGCACACGAGACAATCTATCTTGTACCACCCCTGCTATTCACCCATTATATACATTATTACACATTAACATGCCCCACTATATTATCTCTTTAAAGGCCAAAACAAAACCATGAAGACACCTCTACAATTATTAGTTTAAAAAAAAACTGTATACGGTATACATTTGGAAATGTGGTCGTTCCAGGTTTGTATTCGTATATAAATGCAGTATTGTATATCTGTGAGTATATACAATTAGTGTATTCCAGAGAGATAAACATGAAATGTGCTCATTTAGCATTCGATAGCAAATAACTTCAACGATAATTTAATAATTGGTACTGTATTCTTGTACACGACTTTACACTATGAAAATGTACATGGAGTTTATAATTAGCTTCCAAAATAAATATCTACGAATCCAAAATGTCACGCACAATGCGGCACGAAGTGACTTTTATCAGGATTTTTTTTTCCCACTGGACACTTAGCAGGGGGACATTTAATACATTTAAGTTATCGTGTCTGTCACCTGAGCTCCCAATGCACACTTTGCCTCTTGTTACATCAACGCCGACCATGCTGCACGTCCAGAATCCACAGCAGATGGCAGTAGTGAACAAGGTGCATGCGTACGATGGAGCAAGACTCGCTCTATTCGCAAGCGTCTTTAGTATGCGTCTACAGTTTTTTTTGCGCGCAATCATTGCACGTCGTTCGTCATTACGGCTAAAGTACACGCGTGTAAGATACACGTGTACATGTATATACAACGCTTTTTTTGTCCAATCCACGAATTTAGGAAAGCATCCCCATGTAGTGCTGGGTCGTAGCAGTTAGTTTAACTACACTTGACCGCACGGTACATGGCCACGATGGTGAGTGCGGGTTTCAGGTGGGGAGGGTGTGGCATAGACATAGTAGATTACAACAGTTGTTTTGCGTGATGGTCGCCCATGCAAGTATTATCCAGGCTCAACTCACCTTAGCTTCCGAGATAGTAATGGATCGCTTAATTTGGTCACGGAAGAGATCTACAACGTTGCATTAAACGCAGTCAAACATTTAGTGCACACCTATTCGAATCTTAGACACAATTCAATATGGTAACTATTTCAAATGCTTTTGACTGAACAACACAACCGTTTCCATTTGGCCTAATTACGAGTTCAACTGGAGTTCCGAACGCCAGTCGGAACCCCTCTTTTGCAGACAAAATGTGTCAAATTATAACAGTTTGCACTAAAAGCATTGCTCTTTGCGGGCGCTCGAACGCTTAACTGAAAACGGCACGCGCTTTGGTCCGGCGTGAGTTCGTCTACAGCTTTCACGCCGCATTATGCGAGCGGAAAGGCTGAAGAAACCGTAGGAAATGGTTTTAAACATATGTTGTGTATAATTTATATGGAGGGGGGGGGGTACTTAGCCTTCAGCGCCCCCCCCCCAAACAAATAAAAAAATTACGGATCTGGCTCTTATTGAGTTTCATTTAACCATTGCGTCGCAGGTGGGATTGTTAAGGCGTTATGAACAGTTTGGTATGAAATTGTTGAAGCTAGGGGATACATTTATAAAGTGAACGTTCTTTTTTCAAGGATTCCAGTTTGGACGAGTTAATGATAAGCAACAAGGTTCGTATGTTAGGCAGCTATGCATATTTATAAACGTAATCAGGAGGAAAAAAAATCCCTTGAAAATGTTATTCTTATCAGGCCCCACGGTGTATACAGTAGTGCAGATGCCATGAAACTATTATCCACTTTTTGTGTGTGCTGTGCAGAAGTATCATTGCCTGAAATGTCACCTATTATATATGTTTCCGTTTCAGCCCACAATTATATTGATGAACGTGCTGAGTGTTTTTTTGTTGGGTTCATTTTTGGGTTATAAGGCAGTGGCAGATCAATACATCAGGCGATATGGATAGCTTCCAGTTGCAGCTCGGATAAGAGTAGGCTGGTGGGCTTAATAAAATAATGAAGATGTACAGAGAGTGAGCAGCAATAAGCAGGACCAGATTAAGATTAATTCTAGATTTGAAGCTTTCGTGACTGCAAGGATCCATGCTCTTTGGTTCTATTCGGTAAAGTCACGTAGGTAAAAATAAAATAACAGTAATCACGACATTTCGGCCACAACACAAGTGGCCTTCATCAGGTGAAGGGACCGGACTGTCCAGAGGACAGCGTTGGACAGCAAGGTCCCTTCACCTGATGAAGGCCAATTGTGTTGTGGCCGAAACGTCGTGATTTTTGATATTTTATTTTTTACCTACGTGACTTTACTACCGAATAGAACCAAAGAGTACAGATTAAGATTCTTGTAGGCCCTAGGCACTTATGTTTCGTATGCATTTAGTGATAACTTTCTACAGTTGGGACTGCTGCTGCCCCATGTTCTCACTTCAGCCGCCGCTGTCACTCACTTGTTTTCACGCTGGACAGATGTGTGTTAACTGATACGTTCATTATTTAGTCTGTGCCCTAATTCGATGGGAGCGCGCTGCGTGCCGCAGATAAACACATTCAATTTTAAACACTGTGCCCCATCCTTGCTATGTAAATATATGTATGTATTCAAATAAACAGAAACATGGTCAACATTTCCTTTCGTAGGCCCTAGGCACAGTGCCTATTGTGCCTATTGGATAATACGGCCGTGGCTATAAGCATGGATTTAGAGACGTCTGATAAGAATGAAGATTGTGTAATGCAGGGCACATCCTAAGAGGACCAGCTGGAACTATTACTTCGATGATACAGAAAGGGGAAATGAAAGGGAAGAGTGAAAGAGGAAGAACATTGATCCATTGGTGGGACAACGTGAGGAGTTGAACGGAGCTCTTCATGAGAAACACAGAAGATCGCGAATGCGCTGGCGTGACCATCAATGGCACTAGCTAGTCGTCGTAAATATGCTTTGGGTAAAACACTACGCCAGGCTCAAATGCTGTGGAGTCCGGCAGCAGCAGAACCACGTATCTGTCAGAGTTAAAATCGTACATCACGGAGAGCCTTGTGTTGTGTTGGGGGGGGCGGGTGACGAGGTGGGGCTATTGGTGATGTGTTGAGTCGGCGTGGAGTGTGGCGGTGATGGCCCCCACCTCCGTGCCGGCGGGGGTGGAGCTGTCCATGGTGCCGAACGAGCGCGCGCGCTCGCCGCTTCACCATCGAAGCGAACGCAGAGCAGAAGTCAAGATGATCCCGTGCAGTCCAGAGCAGGCGCCCAGCAACGAAACCGTGGGTACGTGGCTTTGAGAGAAACGTCGCCACTCAAGAGAGATGAACGTTCGCGGCTTGACGCTGTACTTGTGATTTAACGGCCGCGAGAATTGCGTGCGTGGGTCTGTTTGAGCGTAATGCGCTACTTTATGCACCGCGCGATTCGGGAATGTATTTGTCCGGGTTGCTAACCGGTTGGGTCGATGTGCGTCTTTGACTTTTTTTTATGTTTGTCGTCATCGAAAAAAATGTGTATGTATATATTAATTAAGGAACTGCGTTGATTGTAGCAGAAATTTAAAAAAAACACATACACTAACCACGTTATTTAAGCTACCTTACAATAGACGCAGACATTGGCGAGCGATTCCGGCAAGTGCCCCTTAATCAAGGTAGAAAAGGGACGGGGCAACTGCTTAACAGTTGTGATCTCCAACTTTGTCATTCAATACCTGCACTCTTGGAAGGGCCATTACCTGAAACGTTAGCCTGCAACAGTATATCATTTTCTGTTGTAAGGCAGTTTTAATGATGAACTTTTGAGTTGTTTTGATTTGTTTTTCTCTTTTAAAGCTAGTTTACATTGCTTAGCACAATGGGACTACAGTTATTATTTTCCTCCACTCGTAAATAATAGAATACAATATACAGCTATATCACATCAAAATGAAACCACATCTCCAGACGCTTCCAGAGGAGGAGCGTGGGGGGGGGGGGGCGGTAGATTTTACCTCTGGAACATGAACAAATGTGTCTCAAGTCTTGACTTGAACAAGGGTAGACTCTCAACTGCACAAAATTCAAAGTGAAAGAGAATTCTAGGCAGCAGGAGCAGAAGCTGAGAAGGAGCGACCTTATGGAGCAAAGGTTCACTGTGGGCTTCGTCAGGCGGAGAGTAAAGTGAGACGAGAGAGTAGAGGTGGACAGGGGCAGGACCATGAAGAACAAAGAAAAACCAACAATCACTGCAATCTTAAAATGAATCTCAGACTTGACAGGAAGTCAGTGAAGATAATGTACTACTGGGCTGATATGATCTTGTTTTCGTGTACAGGTGAGGATCCTCATCTGTAGCTTTAAAATAAGGGCATTTGGGAGACCATAGAAGAGCGAGTTGCAGCAGTCCAGGCGGTGGAACCATAACATTTCATGTGTGGCCAATGCTATGCAGTTGCAGGTAGGAGGTCTCACAGACGTGGGATATGTGGTGGGTGAATCAAAGCTCAGGATCCCAACGTTGTGCACCCATTTTTGCCAACTTAATATTAGAGTCTAGGAGATGCATATTTTACTTGAAAACTTTAGGATCTCATGCTAGGATATTTTAATATGAAAAAAAGAGCCAAATCAGTCGGAAATTTCGTCAAGGTAGGCTTCAAGAGTGAATATTGTGGGTGGTTGACAGGAAACGATAAACACGTATTATATTCTACCTTTAAATTGTATTATTCTACCCAGTAGAAGCAGGTAAATTGAAAAAGCAGTGGAGTGAGGAGCCCTAAGGCACCCCATAATAGTATGCTTTTAGAGAGGAAGATTTACCCTAGAATGTGACATTGAAAGCACAAATTGATAGATAAGAACAAAACAAAGAGAATAAAGTTCCTGATGTGCCTATGTATTTCGCAAGGCACTGCAGAATAATGTCGTGGTCTTTAAGGTGTGGAATAGAGATGTGACATCAAGGAGAACCAGAGCGTAAGAGACGCACAATGGGCAGAGACTAGGAGGTCATTGACCATACGTACGTAAAAAAACCGTCTCTGTAAAATGGCCTTGTCGAAAACCAGACTGCACTGGATATTAGAAACCATAGATTGCAAGCGCATTAGATATATAGCGATATTTTTTTATTTTATTTTTCAGAACCTTCCCGAGAAATTGGATATTCTGTAGATGTCAGGGTCGAGATGAGATTTCCTAAGTAGTTCAGTTCAGTTTATTTTGGTATAGCCCTGTGAGCCATCCGGCTCTTGAATCGGGTGCAACCAGAACAAACAAAAAACAAAAACACGAACAAGAAAACATCTTAAAGTGACTATGTGTGACTGTGCAAACAGAAAATCCATGGAAAAAACCAACAAAAATATTCCTTAAAAAAGCACCGTACACCAACGCTGGGTGCAAAAAATCCCAGTGGGATGCAAGTCAAACAACAACAACCACAAAAACTTAGATTAAGGCCATCAGTCTAACTCCGTACTACAACAAAACAAACATGTCCAAACCAAAAAACTTTTCCAAATCACCAAAATATAAAGCCATAATTGCAACGTAACAGTGATCACAAGGACTGTGACCGATTTTTTACAATAAACTACATAAATAACATGTAACACCAAACCCTAGAGCCATAGTTGGCTGCATGAGTTACTCCACAACAACAGAAGCATCGGTCGGAGTATCAAATTTTTCAATGCACCTTTAAGATCAGCACGCTAAATCAAAATACAGATAGTACTTTGCAGCGTCATCCGGAGCAAAACATTTATTTTATTTTACGCCAATGAATAGCAGTGGCAGCTAGGGGTGTACAACTCCTCTAGAGCAATTTTGAGAGAAGATCTCATTGGTAGCGATTAAAGTTGCAGTTTATTGGCAATAGCATTCCAGACTCTGGGGGCATCAATAGCAAAGGCTCTTTCTCCAGTTTTTGTACGGCAATAGGGAATGTGAAGCTGGTAAATGAGCAAAGACCTGAGGTCAAATTTGTTCTTTGAAACAGAGAGGAGATCCAGCAGGTAGTCTGCGGATTTTTTTGTAAGTACATCGTGAATAAATAAGATCTGGTGCACAAGCCGTCGAACATTAAGAGATGTTAAGTTTGACCCAATGTAGAGATCACAGTGGTGAGTCCTATATGGGCAGTTCAATGTAAATCTTAAGGCCGAGTGATAGATGGAATCAAGCTTCTTCAGTACAGTACTTGGGGCTGATTTATACACGATGTCACAGTAGTCAAGTAGAGGCAGTATGGTAGCTTTTATCAATTCCAAACGGAACATTGGGGGGAAGCAGTGCTTGTGTTGATACAGAAAACCAATTTTTAATTTGTCTTTTTACCAACATAATCAATGTGATCTTCAAAATTCAGTTTTGAATCCAGGATGACCCCAAGATACTTATAGATCTTGACTTGCTCTATTTGACAATTATTTAAGGAATGTAATTGGGGAAAAATAACTTCCTGCTTTAGTCCTGGTGAGCAGCATAGCACCTTGGTTTTGGAGGTATTCAGGACTAGTTTAGGAGCAACTAGCTGATTTTGTAGTTTGTTAAAATCACCCTGTAGCTGAGCAATCACGTCATCCGGAGAGCGACCAGCAGTAATCAGTATCGTGTCATCTGCAAAAAAATTTACCCTGGAATGATCCAGGTCAGTGCCCAAGTCATTGGCGTAAAGAGTGAACAAAAGGGGGCCGAGGATGGAACCCTGTGGAACCCCTTTTGTTATCTTAACACTGTTTGACCTCCAACCATCTGTGAATACAGTTTGGGTGCGAGAAAAGAGGTAATTTTGTAACCATTTTACTGCGTTTTCGGAAAAACCGAGGCAACTTAGTTTACTAAGCAGGGTGTTGTGGTCTACTGTATCAAAAGCTTTGGACAGGTCTAGAAAAAGACAGGCACAGTACTGCTTATTATCAAGGCTACTGTAAATGTGATTCAGAGAGTCTAATGCAGCAGACGTGGTGCTGTATTTTTTTTAGGAACCCAGATTGTTTTAGATGTAGTAGATTGTTGGTGGACAGGAAACTGCTAATTTGGTAGGTCAATAATTTTTCAAAAATTTTCATCAAGTATGGTGGTGACAGTGGATAATTTTAGTGCAAGGGACACAGTATGAGTAGAAAAGGCAGCATTAGCTACCGAGTAATGTATCTTACTGTAGTAGACAGGCAGTACAGCAAGACTCGTAAGGACACCGAATCAAGAATATAAATACTTCATGAGTTTGTAGATTATGTTGGTACAGTGAGGGAAAAAAGTATTTGATCCCCTGCTGATTTTGTACGTTTGCCCACTGACAAAGAAATGATCAGTCTATAAATTTAATGGTAGGTTTATTTGAACAGTGAGAGACAGAATAACAACAAAAAAAATCCAGAAAAACGCATGTCAAAAATGTTATAAATTGATTTGCATTTTAATGAGGGAAATAAGTAATTGACCCCTCTGCAAAAGATGACTTAGTACTTGGTGGCAAAACCCTTGTTGGAAATCACAGAGGTCAGACGTTTCTTGTAGTTGGCCACCAGGTTTGCACACATCTCAGGAGGGATTTTGTCCCACTCCTCTTTGCAGATCGTCTCCAAGTCATTAAGGTTTCGAGGCTGACGTTTGGCAACTCGAACCTTCAGCTCCCTCCACAGATTTTCTATGGGATTAAGGTCTGGAGACTGGCTTGGCCATTTCCAGGACCTTAATGTGCTTCTTCTTGAGCCACTCCTTTGTTGCCTTGGCCGTGTGTTTTGGGTCATTGTCATGCTGGAATACCCATCCACGACCCATTTTCAATGCCCTGGCTGAGGGAAGGAGGTTCTCACCCAAGATTTGACGGTAAATGGCCCCGTCCATCGTCCCTTTGATGCGGTGAAGTTTTCCTGTCCCCTTTGCAGAAAAACACCCCCAAAGCATCATGTTTCCACCTCCATGTTTGACAGTGGGGATGGTGTTCTTGGGGTCATATGCAGCATTCCTCCTCCTCTAAACACGGCGAGTTGAGTTGATGCCAAAGAGCTCCATTTTGGTCTCATCTGACCACAACGCTTTCACCCAGTTGTCCTCTGAATCATTCAGATATTCATTGGCAAACTTCAGACGGACATGTATACGTGCTTTCTTGAGCAGAGGGACTTTGCGGGCGCTGCAGGATTTCAATCCTTCACGGCGTAGTGTGTTACCAACTGTTTTCTTGGTGACTATGGTCCCAGCTGCCTTGAGATCATTGACAAGATCCTCCCGTGTAGTTCTGGGCTGATTCCTCACCGTTCTCATGATCATTGTAACTCCACGAGGTGA